GGCCGTGCGTTGCACCACATGTTTCGGGGCAGGGCACTTCTGAGCAGGGCTGCAGGGCGCGCGAGCCACTTCCTCACTGCTTGCTTATGGGGAAGCTCGCCTTTTAAAGTGCCCTGTCTAGGCATCACTTCCGAAGGAGGCGCTCGGATTCGAGAGAAAGAACTAAAGTGATGACTGGGGGGCAATGAGCAGGGTGAGTCGCGTCAGGGCGGAGGGGAGGAACTGAGGCGAAGCAGCCCCTGGTTTTGTTCTTCGATTCACTTCCTCGAGGGAGTCCTTGTAGGTCCTGCCCTAGCTCTGGGGCAGCCAGCAGAGCCCTGAGAGCAGCCTGACCTGGAGGCCAAACACAAGGAAACCAACTCCGTAGGAAAGAGCCTCCTTGCGTTCGCCACTTTCACTGGTTTCTTTATTAGATGGAAGAGGCTCACAGCAATGGTAGCTACACATTAACCTAAAATCAGCCTCTGCTACCCACACTGTCATCACCAGAAACCACTGCAGGGCAACCAGCAGCAGCGACGGCTTCTGCAGTGAGACGCCAGGGCACACTGAGCACTGGGCCTGGGCCACAGCACGGACCGTCTGGCTTTAGCACGGACATTTTAGGCAGCAAACCCAGGCGTGCTGCACCGCGCTGCTAGCCCTTGGCCACGGCGTGGCCGCGCGGTCTGCAGTCTTGCAGCCGCCCTGGAGGCTGCAGCTGAAAATGCAGCCTGGGAGAGATGGAGCCATCAGATAGAGATGCAGGGTGTGGAGAAGGTGTGCTCAGAGGACATGGGCACGTGCGCGGGTGCTCCTGACCTCTCTGAGGTGCCACTGCTCCTGACTGCAGTGCTGCTCCCAGAGATGCTCTTTGCATCGGAGCCTGGCTCCGAGGCTGGAGAAGTCGCACTGCTCCATGCCCCTGAGGCTGGAAGCACTGCCCAGGGCTGCCCCCCCGGCCCTGGCATCGCTCACTGCTGGAGCCAGGATGCCTAGGGCTAGCTGGGGGGCCGGGGCGCCGCCACCGCAGCCGTATATGGTAAACCGGAGCGCAGCGGGTGGCCCGCGGCAGAGGGATGCCGTGGCAGGCAGCGGCGGAGGAAGTGGCCCGCTGACTAAGGGGCTGGAGGGGGTTTCTCCTCTCCTGGGCTGGGTGTTGGAGCTGGCGACAGTGAGCAGGGCCAGATAATCCGACAGGCTGCTGCGGGAGCGTGAGCACTGCGGCAGCACGGGCGCCTGGGGGTGAAACGCAGAGTGGCCGGCAGTGCTCGGCACCAGGTGCTGCTCCCGTACGTCCTCACCAGGCCCCGGGTGTCTCCGGAGCCAGGCGTGCAAGGAAGGAAACGCAATCGCCCCGGAGGTCAGCAGCAGAGCCCAGCCTGGCATGGCCCGCGGGCGTTGCACAAAGCCGGAGCCCGCCGGGGTCAGAGGAAACACGCTCCGGCAGCTGCCAGCCGGCTGCCGGCGCAGCCTCCCCGTTGTGCTGCGTAAGAGTTATGCAACGCCGCCGGGCAAAAGCCTCTGCCCGCCAGCCCCATGGCGGCGCAACGCGGTGCCTGGGCTCGGCACAGCCTCGGCAGCCACTGGAGCTGCCCTCGTGTCCAGGCCTTCATTTCAGTGCCAGGGGCTGTGCAGAGCCAGCCTGGGAGCACCCCGGCCACGGCGGGAGCCTGCGCCAGCTACCCTGGAAAGCGAAAGGAATGTTCACAAAATTTTATTTTGCTTTCCGGACAGTTTTCCAGATTTTGCTAAAATGAATGAGATCCCAGCAAATCTGCCGGCTCTGGGGTACCGTCACCATCCGAGGAGCCACAATGGGCTCCAATCCGGAGCTATTTTCAGCTGTACTCCGGCTTTTGGGAGGAGAGGGGCCACGGATGCAAAGCCCCTCACTCAGGTCTGCAAAATCCTGAGGCCTCAGGCAGTGCTCAGCCTTGCAACCCGCCAGGTGCAGCGCTTGAGCACCGAGACCCGCACGCGTGGGGCTGAGTGGGCGCTTGCTTTGCGAGACGCGTTTTGGACCCCGCGCCATCTGGCTCTCAACAGGGGCATCGCAGGGCTTCCAGCGCTAGGTGGGTGACGGGAGAGCGTGGGGCTGCCCCTCGGCCTGGCAGGTGCCACCGCTGCCCCCTGCTTCGCCTGCCCATCCGAGAACCAAGCTGGCGCTTGCCCGGCCCCTCCGGTTGCTCCTGCTTTGCCCTTCTGGCCGGCACAGGAAGCTGCCCAAAGCAGAATTTGCACTTTCAGATTGGAGGGACTCTGTGAAGAGAGGAAAACACAGAAATAATATTGCCTTGAGAACGGAAGAGAGCAGCAGTGACTCATTTCCATAAGAAGAAATACTTGCTTTTCCCAAAATTTCTTCCCCTCCGCCTACCCAGCCAACCTGCAGAACTCCTTGATGCAGGAAACGGGCCATGTGTGGCATTCAGTGAAGCCAGCGGTGCCTTGCTCAGCACCACATTCCCCAGCGTCCCCAGGAGATGAGCTGTGAGAAGGGCCACCAATACCTGGTGTTCCTCCTCTGCCATCGTTTGGTTCCTCTTCCCTCAGCCACGACCCAGGTTTCTCTACAGAGATGCCCCCAAGGATACCTTGGGTGGCCTCGAAAGGCTCCTTCTGTCTTGTCCTACCCCCACCAACCATCGCTTTGTCTGTACTAGAGAACAAATGAGGGCTTGAGGTCAAATGGCCCAGGTTGGTCATGTCCTTGTGGCTGGATCCTCCTGCTCCAGGTGTCACCCGGGAGAGTGTGAGCTGGTACCAACCATGTCCATGCTGGGTCCTGCGCAACCGAGCAAGCAGCTTGGGGAGATGCATGCGAACACGCAGCCTCAGTCTGCAGTGCAGTCACGACCATCAGAGCTGTTCAAGCACCTACATCCCCACAGCACCCAGCACACACCCACAGCGGCCTTCCTGCAGCCCTGGCAGGACCCTAGAGATGTGATGGGGCTATGTGGCCCAAGGACACTGCTGGGACTCGAGACCTGGAAAGCAGGGGGCTGCCCCAGTCTGCTCCAGCAGGCCTTCACGGCTGCCAGGCGTTGAGCTCAGGTCCAAGGTCACATCTGGTCAAGCCAGGGAGTTGTCTCATCCCGGTGTGGTGAGGATGCAAAGGTTGTAAACAGGACAACGTGGGAGGGAAGAAGTAGTTTCTTTTCTTCAGGAGAAATTACACCAGTGTGACAATTACACCAGTGTGACAAAGACAATTTGTTCATCCATCCACCAATCCATCTACTCCATTCATCCACCACATCCATCCATACACATATGTATCCATCCCAACAACCTATCCACCCATGTATCCATCCATATATCCACCTATCTATCCATCCACTCACCCCATCCATTTACCCATACATGTACCCATCTATTCCAACCATCCATACGCGTAGGCATCAGTCCACCTAGGCATCAGTCTACATCATCCATCTATCGAGAACCATCCATCCATCCATCCCTCTAGCTATTCCAAACCAAGCTGGCTGCTCATCCGTTCACATTCATTCACATTTAGAGCAGGCTGGGAGGGGATCTAATCGGTGTATACAAATACCTCAAGGGAAGGAGTGAGGAGGATGGCGCCGGCCTCTTTTCAGTGGTGGTCACCGATAGAACTAGAGGAAATGGTCACAGATTGAAGCACCAGAAGTTCTACAGGAACTTAAGGAATAATTTTTTAACAGTGAGGGTGACAGAGCACTGGAACAGGCTGCCCAGAGAGGCTGTGGAGTCTCCTTCTCCGGATATCTTCAAACCCGCTTGGACACAGTCCTGTGCCACGTGCTCTGCATGTGCAGGGGGTGTTAAACTGGATGATCTCTAGAGGTCCCTTCCAACCTTAATGATTCTGTGATTCTATGATTGATCCCTGGCCCACTGGGCACACTATGCCCATGACGTGTGCCACATGGGCAGGATTGGTTGGCAGAGGGAGTTGGGCTGGCTGTGGTGCCTGGGGCTGCACGCTGGCACCTGGGCCCTGACTACCACCAAGGACCCACGAGAGGAGACCCTGGAGCCGCAGGACAGAGCGCCAGTCTGGGCACCACCCCGGACCTTGTACAGCGAAGATCCAAAGGTTTTACACAGCACCTGCGCTACACGAAGAGGGAACTGTGGAAATCCAACGGGCTCGTTGAATGACTCCAAAAGTCAAGGGAAAGCCCCGGAGCTGGGCTGCTAGCCCAAGGGTGCCCAGGCAGGTGCACGGGCCTGTACATGGGCAGCTCGTCCTCCCGAGCCACCAGCTGGGACAATGCACTCGTGCTGCCAGGCTGGGGGACAGCAGGGAGCCCCTGCCCCTCACTGCCACCGGGCTCTGGAGGAACCGCGGCCACCGGCTTTCACTGGGCACCGGTCAGAGGAGCCCGGAGATGAAAGAGGAGCACGTCCTGCAAGAATGTGCAATACCCATGGCGGTTAAAAATAGCGCTGGTGACAGCATTGGCTGACTGTAGTTTCTTAATCTTCATGGTGCGCGTCACAACTGTCTCATGACTCTGGAAAAGAGAGTGAGACAGGAAGGAAAGAGGCTGGGGACTTTGTAGGAACTCGAGGTCTTGCAAGCGCCCTCCAGAGCCAGCCACTGGGTCAGCCGCTTGCTCCAGCGCTGGGAATGGGCCCTGGTGGCAGCTGAGTCGCTGGCACCCCAGCTCTGCCTGGTGCCTCGGCCCACAGTGGATCTAGGGGACACCTCCTTCCACAACCCCCCAAATTCCCACTCTGCTCTCTGGGTGGCAGTGGGACGGTGGAGGTTCCCACGTGCTGGAGCTGCCAGCGCATGTCCCCATTTGCCATGCCAATACTCTGGAGGTGCCTCAGGAGGGCTGGAAATCTGTTCGCTCAGCACCAAGAAGGGCACAGGGCTCCCTCAGCAGCGCTCACCCCTGCGCCCACCCGGGCAGCGCTCACCTCCGGCCCCTCAACACTTTGTAAAAGCACCTGTGTCCCCTGGGCAAGGCAGGCAGTGCTGGCACCAGGGCCTCGCTGTGGCATCAGCCCTTGGAATGGCCTCACAGGCGAGGGAGCAACCCGGTGAGACCATCTGCTCCTGCTGACTCGAGCGGCGCCGCAGCTTCCCAAGCACCAAGGCGAGCAGAGGCAGCCCGGGCCTGTGTCATCCGGCTGCTTTCCAGCACCAGGAGCACAGGGCATCGCAGCTCTGCCCCGCTGCTCCTGCTCGAGGCTTCCACCTCCTCGTCTCGGCCTTTAGGACACAAGTGACAGCTGGGGCCACCCAAGCATAGGGATGATGCAGGACTCGGTGGTGCAGGTGCAAGGGGGGCACCCGCAGGGCACCCAGGGCAGTGCAGGCAGGGTCCCCCGTGCACAGGGAGGGCCAAAGGGCCAGTCCACCACTGAGCTGCAGCCAGGCAGTATGTGAAAAACTGCACTTTTATTGACTCCATAAAAAATACGAAAAACTAGAGCTCAGAAGAGGGGACTTTCCTGCTCCCCTCCCTGCTCCAGCAGGAGACCTCAAGGCCACAGCGAGGGACACAGAGCCTTACACCACAGAAGGGACAGGATTGAGACCCTGGCCCTGGCTACACCCCTGTGACAGCATCCCCAAGGCAGGGATTTGTGGAGGAGGATCCATAGCACCAGACCCCAGCCGAAGAGGCTTAGAGCAGCACGGAGCCTCCATCCCCTGGAGGATGGAGATGCAGGGAGGGAGGGAGAGCAGCCTCCAGCCCCTGCGCACCAGAGCTCCCACCCTGGCTTGGGGTTCACCCCGGGCCCAGCCCTGACCCCAGGCTGGGGGGGATGTTGTCCTCACTCCTGCCTTGAGGAAGCAAGGATTGGGGGACAGGGAAAGGGCATTAACAGCTGCAAGCACTGACAGGCCAAGGAGTTCTCGAGGCAAAGTAAGGGCTGCTCCTGTGTTTTGGCCTCTCCCAGGCCCCCTTAGGGTTTGTACAGTGGAGATTTCTCCCTCTTCTTCCTGTGGTCAAATACTGCGCTGGCACCTGGACACAGTGGCAGCTGGGCAGCAGGAGACACATCTTTGGCTCTCTGGGGTCGCCGTTCCGCCCCGTCCTGGCCACCCTGGGCTAGGGGAAGAGCAGCCAAAGGGCTAACCCTGAGCTCAGCAGTGCGCCGGAGGTGGTCACAAGCCAAAGAGGGGCAGCAGGAGCCCTCTGCAATGGGGCGCCGCTGCCCGAGGGAGTGAGGCCCGCAGCCGGGTGCAGGGTCCTGCTGGGATACACAGCGTGGTGCTCGCGAAGGATCGGGGGCACCCGCCACCATCCCCCGGCCTCGGGGCAGGTGCCTGCTAACTCCTGCTCTCCTGGCGCCGCTGGAGCAGCTCGATGACCTCGGTGATGCCCTCCTCAGGGACCTGGGAGCAAGACCCCTTGTCAGCACTGGCAGCACTCGGGGCACTGCGGTCCCTGCCGCGAGCTGCCTGCCTGCACCCCCGGGCCAGCCGCAGCCATGGCCAGCACAGTGCCCTTACCAAGGCGTGATCGAAGTTGAAGGTGCTGATGTAGTAGGCAGAGATGTCCACGGTGGCCAGCGGCTCAGCAATCTGTGCCACAATGCCACACTCGTCTGGGGAGGCAAAGGGCCCCACAGTTGATCATGAGGGACACAGCCAGAGAGAAGCCCCCAGGCATCGGCACCGGAGGCAAAGCCTCAAACTGCAGGAAGTTCCCGGCTCTGCTTCGGAGCAATCCCAGGAAGCGGGGGGTGAAGCTGTGCCATGGGAGCGACCGGGTGCCAAGCTCCACGGGGAAACCCAACCCTGCCCACGTCCCTGCATCCCCTTGCACAGGAGCTCCCCAGGGTGCCCCAGCAGGACAAGGCTGTGACAAGGCCAGCAGGGGCCCGTGACGGCGGGACAGAGCTGCCACACGTACCGAAGCCCAAGGGCTGCCCGCCGATGCGCACCATGCGCCAGAGCTCCTCCGTGGAGCTGGTCAGCAGGAGGTCACTGGGGAACCTGGAAGAGAGCAGCGTCCCCGAGTGCAAGATCCCCGGGCACCGCTGGAGCCGCAGCCTCGGGGAGGGACACGCAGCCCCGAGGCAGGGCTGAGGGTGCGCGCAGGGCTGCGGAGCTGCGCCCAGCTTTGGAGTGCACCCACCTCTTCTGGGTTTCCGCATCCATCACGATCGAGATGTAGCCCTCGATCAGGGAGAAGGCGAAGAAGGTGAAGGTGTCCAGGTCCTGGCTGCCAGGGCCAGCCTCCTTCGGGGGGCTGCAGACGGCGGGATCGGGGTGAGCCGAGCGCCAGGACGGCCAGCAGCCCCCACCTCCGGGGCGCAGGGGAGGCCTTGGCTTGCAGCTCCCGAGGCCACTGGCCTCTGCTGGCACCCCAGCCGGACCTCTTGCTGGCGGGGGCAGCGCCAGGGCTCGCTCTGCGCTTCAGAAGCCTCCAGGTGGGAGGCGCAGCCTGCGGACTCGGCCGCAGTCACGTTTCCACACGCTGCTGGAAAGTCACGGTACCTCTGGAGCGGGAAAGCCAGTGCGGGAGCTGCTCTTTACACATCAAAGGGATCTGCTGCCTCACAAGCCCGGGCAGGGCCACGCGTGGGTGCTCCCAGGTGCCCAGACTCAGCAAAATGCAAGGTCTCATCCAAAGGGAAAGTGGATTCTCAGGAATAGCCCAAGGCTTCGTGTCCCCAGGGGGAGACACGACAGCGCTCCAACCACCGGGAAGTCCTGCCTGGGCAGGGTTTCAAGCAGCCTTTTTTTAAATTATAAAAAAAGGCTTCCTATTTTGCAATATAACCCCCTTGCATGGGCTTTGCTGCAGGAGCAGAGGGCAGGAGGAGACGCATCAGTTCTGTTAGCGCCCATGGAAGGGCAAGGGGCCTGTAGTCCAGGTAGGTCAGAGCCAGGGTAACAGGGGAGGCTGGAGACGCTCCAGCAGGTCCCAAACAGCCACGGCACTGCCTTATGCCCCTGGTGCAAACGCCTCTAGCAGCGGCGGGTTGGGGCAGCCTTGCCCATTACACACCAGCGAGGACCACAAGAGCCCTTTCGGAGTGGCGTGCCAGGCGGGAAGGGACCCGATATGCACACAGCCGCCAGCAGTGGGTTCATGTGCCAGGTCTCCCCGCAGCCTCTTGCCAAATGGCAGTGCCCCTGTGAGCTGCCAGCACCCGAGCACGGTGCCAGCACCCACGAGGGTCCCACCTGTGGGAGTAGAAGAGGACGTCGATGAGCACGGTGGCGATGGCGGGCAGCGTGTCGGGCGCCACAGTCACGATGCAGAAGCGGTTCTGGGGGCTCTGCACAGGGTGCACTGTGGGGCTGGCGGCTGGCAGGGGACAGCGAGACGTCACCCCAGGCAGGGCACCCAGCTGCTTGGGGACAGGACAGCAGTGCCACCCCGTGGCCACGGCAGCAAGAGCCCGGCATCCCTCCGGGCGCAGCGGGGAGGCCCTGCGGACGCGGGTCCAGCCTCCAGCACCAGGCCCCGCCAGGCACAGGGACGCGGGCAAGCCCGGCTGCTCACCTGGCTTCGCTTTGAGGAAGCCATTGCTCACATCATCGCGGTCGACGGGGACAGACTCGCCATTCTCCTCCTTGTAGATGTCAAATTCACCCGCCAGCGTGTGGATCACCACCGGCAGGTCCTTCTCCCGGACCTGGCAGGAACATGGGAAGAATGAGGCCTCCGAGCGCTTCCCTCAGTCCCCATCCCCAAATTGGGAGCGCAGGTGCTGCAAGACTCCGTCCCTGTCCCCTCTGGGGGCGCACACACTCCCCATCCTGCCCACGCACGACTCACCAGGACAAAGTCCGTCTGGTAGGTGGAGAGCATCAGCACTGAGACGTGGTGCTCGGCCAGCGGAGCAATCACCGACTTGGCAATCTTGGTGACACCGGTGGCCTGGCAGCCGGAGGAGGCCCTGCCATTTGACACGACGGCGAGCACCAGCCACGTCGAGTCCGCCACCTGCATGAACTCCGAGGGCGGCAGCTCTGCAATGGGAGAGCCGCAGAGGGAAACTGAGGCACAGTGGCCGAGGAAGAGCAAGGACCTGTGTCGCAGGTGGAGAGCCTACCAGGGACCACATGGGGTTGTGTTGGCCTTGCCAAGCAGGGCCTCAAGCAGGGCCAGGAGCTGCTGCATCATTTGTCTGTCCTTCCCGAGCCAGGGCAGGGCATGAGGCCTGCAGCCAGCCCCAGCGATGACAGAGCCACGTCCCCACCAGCAGCGGGATGAGCTGCTCCTCTGGCCCTTGGGGACACCAGTTTCATAGGGACAGGGCTGCACCTGCTGCAGAGGCCATTGGGCAAGTGGGAGGAGGTGGCACAGCCAGCAAACTCCAGCTTTCATTGCACGACATCCCCAGGCTAAGAGCTGGCCTTGTCCTCAGGAGCTGGCCAGGTGCTTCCCAAGAACAGAAGAGCCCGGGAATGCCAGCAGGATGCACCCACTGCAGCCCTCAGCCTGCTCAGCTCCGAGCGGGCCCAGGCATCCCCCTGCCCTCCAGCATCCACGCGCTGCTGAGGAGCCCACGGTGCTGCTGGGCATGGGAACCGGAGCGGCTCTGGGCACCAAGCCGGCACAGGAGGGAACAGGAGGTGCCGGCGCCATGAGCAGAGCCAGCACAGGCGGAATAAACATGGGGGCTGCGCGAGCTCACCTCGCACCTCGCGCAAATGCAGCCAGGGTGCCAGGCGCACCCCGGCCACAGCCAGCACAGCCAGAGCCCGGGGAGCAGCAACATCCCCAGGCACCGACCCCGTGGCTCCAGGGAAGGGGATGGGGTCACCAACATCAGTGGCAAAGCGGTGGGGCAGCCACGGCAGGCACAGCCCCACTGTCCCCACATGGACGTCAGGTGCCACACGGGCCCCCCCCCGCTCCCTTCCAGGGCCCGGCACAGCCCAGGGCACACGGGTTCATTCCCGTGAGTGGTCAGCACCGGAGCTGGCACAGAGCCCAGCGAGCGCCACTGCTCAGGGGGTCCCAGGACATCCTGGACACTTTGCAACAGCCCCAACCACTTTCCAGGCTCTATTCCCGTTCACGTTAGGTTTAAGAGGGTTTACACCAGACAGAGGCTTTAGCTCTCTCCACTCTAAACACAAGCACCATGTCCAGAAGAGCAGCTCTTAGAGAGCCAGGCTGGACATGATGTTTTTTAGGGCCCAGACTCCTATTGGAGCTGGATACCCACCCACTGGCATGGCCATAACCCACAGAGCAAAACTTCAGACTGAGCTGGAAGAAGCAGAGACCTTCAAAGAGCCCCTTCCCCTGCAGCGGGTACGGCAGCTCATCCAGACCCTGCTGGCACTGGCGGTGCCAGGGACAATTGCTCCTTCCCAGAGAAGAAGTTGCCTTCAAGCAAACCCAGTGAAGTGGCTGCCCCTAGGCCTGTCCATCTGAGAACTGCCAGTCCACAGTCACAAGTGAGATGAGCTGCAGGGGCTCAGCAGCCCACCCTTGGCTGTAAAGAGGGCACAAGTTCAGCCCCAGGAAAGTGCAGGGCCAAGCCCGTGAGGCCTCCAGGGCCAGAACTTTTCTCCTGCTGGCACCAGCTGCCTGAGCTGGTCATGAGGCAGAGATGGGCCCCAGGGTCTACAGCTACTCCAAAACCAGGAATGGGGGTCACAGTGTTGACCCACCACACATGCAAGCCTTGCCACAGCCTTGCCAGCAGCCCTGGACTGCCAGGCCGCCCGCCTCTGGTGGGAGAGGTGTCCTGAAGCCAAATGGTGCTTGGGGACTGCAGTGCTGTCCCAGCGGGAGCTGGCACCGTGGGTCACCGAGTGGCAGGTGAGCAGAGCCGCAGGTCAACTCCGCTGAGCACCAAGCTGGAGCCGAGCCCGCGCTGGCCGGGCGCCGGGGCCGCTCCGCAGGAGCTGCTTTTGTTGGCACAGCCCAGGCCTGTTCCACGGTTCCTTCCTGCCCCTCTCCCCAGGAAGGTGCAGAGCTGGGCTGCGCTCTTCCTCCCGTGTTGTATCCTGACACCTGCTTGCCAGGCACGAGCTCCCACCGGGTGCTGCACAAAGGCACTGGGGTCACTCTCCAGCGAAGCTGTGGTGACAAGGCAAGGGGACCCACACATGCACCATCCAGAGCAGCACCCCCTGGCCAGGGCTCCCTGTGTCCTACTTCTCCACCCCATGGTACCCATAGGTGGGCGTCTGGAAAAAACAGGTCTTGCAAATCCTCCTCATCCTCCTGTCTGAGCCGCAGGCCCAGGGGAGGCTCTGGTGGGAACCAAGTCAGTAACTTGGTGTTTCAGCTGGGGTCTGCGGAGGAGCAGCTGGGCCAAGAAGCCAAACTCACCACACCAGGGGCATAGCAGAGCTGGAGGGGGTTTCTCTGTCCCCAGGGCCTGGCATCCTGCTGCCCGTGGGCCGCCGTGGTTTACCCAAGGTATCCACAACCCACATCAGCGCCACGGACCTGCTGTGGGAGAGACATCAGCGAGGAGACCAAAGGCAGACGGGGAGTTGCGGGCTGATCTGCTGGACCTCTGCTGACCCATGCGCGCGCCAGCTACAGGAACGCTGCTGCCGTCTACCCGGACCGGAGCTGTTGAAGCTTTGGGCCAGCCCAAAGGGGTATCTCCAGGTCCCTCAGGTATCTGTCACTGTGAGAGCCACCCCCCAGCTCACAGGGGCCCAAGACAGGTATAGCAAGTGGCCACAGGCCCTTTGGCTCCTGCGCGTCAGGCAGCCACGGGGACAACGACGCTCCGGCCGCCCAGAGCAAGCAACGCGCTCAGCTTCCAGAGCCCTCCCTGCACAGGCGTTTCCCCCGGCCGCCTCCTGCACAGGAAGCGCCGGAGGAGCCGCGGCGCTTTCCCGGGGCCGGCCGGT